AGTGGTGATTAGATTTTGGCAAAGGCAGGTTCAGCCGTTTTGGAGATACCGAGCTAAATGTGCAAAATATGGTAGTTTTTGAGAAGACTAAGCATCCGATTTGAATGGTTCAAAAAACTTTCTGCTGGTTTTGACAAAATTTTAATTTTAATTCTGCCTAAAGTTCTAAAGCTCACTTATATACTTTAAATAAATAATTTTAACTTTGTTATTCAGTTTATATAAGTCTTATAAATATTAGACAATGTTACAGTATTTATCTATATGAAAAGATTTAATATTTCTCGAATGTTTTGTTACGGTACGGGACGTTTCAGCAATTTGCCTTAAGGCACGATGCCATACACAACTAGTTCAATTTTGGTTTGAAATTATTCAGAATGACTTGAAACGTTCGAAAAATATAAATTTAGTAAGTCGAAATTTCTGGCAAAAACAAATTTTTTTAGGAAGTTAATAAATGTTTATTTATATATATATATATATATATATATATATATATATATATATATACAGTGGCGTCGGAAGCAAATTTTTGATGGGTGCGCTCGTTTTTTTTAGGCAGCCAATGCGGGCTTGTTCTTTTTTTTAGACATTTGAGACAATATCATATTTTTGAGATTCACCCACCAAAATTTATGGGTGGGCTCAAGTCCACACAACCCACACGGTTCCGACACCAGTGTATATATATATATATATATATATATATATATATATATATATATTTAAAAATAATCTTTATCCACTTTTTTCGACAATTTAACGTCTTGTTATTCATAAAGAATAATCCTGAACATTAAAAAAAAAACAAAAAGTACAGAGAACCCAATCTTCAGATTTCTCACTTTTTTGACGATTGTTTTCATTGGAGTACAACTTCTTAATTTACTCCTCTTACATATTACAAACTAAATTCTATATGTAAAAAAGCATGTTTGAATATAAATATTATCTTAATCGAAGAATCTCGAAACTTTACAAATTCTTATAAAAAGGCACAAGGAAGGCGTTATACTTACAATTATAATAATTTCCGTGTTATCTCATATATCGAATAAGACAATTGTTATAAACAATACACAAAACTGAGCACTGTTAGTGAGGTTAATAACACTGTTCGTTGATCGATCAATTAACGGTAAATGACATTCATTACGTATTGGGTTTCTATATTTTATTGTTATTTGAAAGCAATGAAATAGACCATTAATAATCATAATCATAATGTAATTTTCAAACGTTTCAATTTTTATATTTATTTAAGATGTGTTAAGATTTAAGACAAGTAGGAATCAAGAAATGTTGTCAATTAATTGTTAATGCACCATTCTAGACATCCCAAATATTCAGCAATTTGCCTTAGTACAAAACAATACACTACTAGTTTTATAACTTACCGGTGTATCCAATAGTAACAGATCATATATAGTATGCATCTTACTATGCGGCACAACTAAATTTAATAAAATGAAAATAATGTAGGTACGTAGCCTAGTTTCTTAGTATGATCTCTATTGCAAAAATATATGGTTAAAATAACATTATCCTAAACAAAAAGTATCATTCTTCCTTCGTTTGACTATGTTTCTGGCGTAAGTGAACAGTATTCTTGAAACATCATTTCAGAAAAATTAATATAATATATGAATACAAATATATATATATATATATATATATATATATATATATCTTCTATATATAAAAATAAGTCGGGTTTTCCTTCCTGACGAAATAACTCCAGAACGCACGAACCGATTTGGACAATTTTGCATTCGTTGGAAGGCTTCGGGCTCCGCAAGGTTTATAGCTAAGAAAATTAGTGGTGCATGGCATCGTGCCCTAATGCAAATTGCTGGAACTTCACGCACCGTAATTAAAAATTTGAGTAATAAAAATAATCAATAATTGTTTTAAATAATTGCAAATAGATTATCTTCTATATATATAAAAATAAGTCGGGTTTTCCTTCCTGACAAAATAACTCCAGAACTCACGAACCGATTTCGACAATTTTGCATTTGTAGGAAAGGTTCGGGCTCCACAAGGTTAATAGCAAAGAAAATTAGTTGTGCATGGCATCGTGCTTTAATGCAAGCTGCTGGAAATTCACGCACCGTAATTAAAAATTCAAGTAATGACATTAGTGAGAATTATAAGAATTTTGCTTGGTTAAGTCAACTAGCAATTCTTGCCGCAAAGAATAATGATATATACACACTGAATTTCACCATTTAATCAAAAATTGCTGGCGATTTGGTACCAATGATTCCGACTGGTCTTCCGTTTGACTTCAAACGATTGCAATTTCCAGTTCGCCTTGCGTTTGCAATAACAAGTCGCAAGGCCAATCGCTTAGTGTTTGCGGGATAAATTTCAAATAGATTATTTAGAAAATCATTGTTTTTCACATGGGCAGTTATACGTTGCCTGTTCACGAGTTGGAAATCCGCTTTGTTTGTGTTAACGTCAGACCAAAAAACAAAAAAATGTGGTTTGCCAAAGAGCACATCAATGAAACGATTAATTTGCGGATTCACTTTCATTTACTTAGAGAAGTTCAACTAAAAAACACTTCGATTTTTGTAATAGAAATAAATTCATTACTGTTGTATAATAAAATCCAATTTTTTCTTTCCAAATATAAAACAAAAAAATTTCTCATCTTTCTCACGAAACCATCTGGTGGCGAAACGGAGTTCGTCGGGTTTGCTAGTATATATATATATATATATATATATTAGGGTGGTCATTAATATGGACATTTTCGAATTTCCTTGCTCCCAGGGGCTCAATTGCTTACAAATTGATAAAAAAATCCTCTATAAGTTGTAGTTCTTAATATTGTCTTTTAGATAGCGCGCAATTCCATCAAAGTTTTCTTAAGAGGGCTCGAGATCTGATGAACATATTTTTCTTAAACTTTCAACTAATTTACGAATCTTTATATTAGCAAAATTGTCAAATTTTGCATTGCATTTAATGCTTTGTTAATTATATTTCTTGAAATGAAAAATGTTATTAAAAAAAATGAGTATAGAATTTTTTGCTCACTATCCAAATTTTGCCCCCGAAAATTTGCCGCCCTGGGCAGTAGCCCCAACCGCTCCTGCTGTAAATCCAGCACTGTATATAGCCCACCCTTCAATCTCAAAAAATGATATGCCCTAATATGTCTAAAAAAAAGGAACCCACTGGCTGCCTATAAAAAAAAACGAACCCACAGGCTGTCTATCAAAAAAAAACAGCCCGCCCATCAAAAATTTGCTTTCGACGCCACTATAAATAAATAAATAAATTTATATTTATATATGTATATATAGTGTTTTTAATGCATGGGCATATAAAGAATATGTGCACACAACTTTGTGCACTTTTTATTTCAATACATTTGAACAGTTTTGATTGAAAAAATTAATTTTGAAATTAAAAATATTGAATTTTTTATGTCGGACTGTTCTAGCGGTACTTTTTTGGATACATATATAATAATCCAGAAGTATACCAATTCATTTTTTATGGCTTCATTTATAACGAAATTTGTAAACATGTTCAACTAACTATATGTAAAATCTTTTCACTGCAGCAGTGGGACTCTATTACGGAAATTCAGTGCGTAATGAAGTGAAATGAAATTTAAGGAATTAGTTAATTGAAACTTTGGAAATAAAATTATATAGAACTTAATTACATAGCAATATTATTTTGCAGCAGGTAGCAGCAAAATGATATTGCTAAGCTAAGTAAAATGTGAAGATGGAAATCAAATGCTTTCGTATCATCAACCTTTCTTCAGGCAGAAATTTAAATACATGAGCATTTGTATGCATACATATTTGAAACTCATCACTATTTTTATCGCATCCACTTAAATCAACTGATGCAACGGTTACGTTACGTTCAATTTAAATGACCAGCGGGCTGTTTAACCGATGTCAGGTGGGTGACATATAAAAATAAATATAAACATATGTATATATATATAATATACTAGAATATATATATATATATATATATATATGTGTGTGTGTGTGTGTGTATTTTGGGTGCTCTGACTGAAGATAGGCCCGTAAAGTTGTGTTTAAATCCAACATAAATTTAGTGTTCCAAAGCAAGAAGCTTGCTTTGCAATATACTTCAAACTTTTTCTCATTTTAACAGTAAACAAGGTAATTCCAATAATCGAAAAAAGTACCTTATAAAACACAGAATTTACAAGTTATCAATATATTTTTACAATTTGAAAGCTCTTGTCTTGCTTTATATTAGATTATATTTTATTTTAAAATAATTGGGAACACAAGCTCTCACGTCTTCCTTTATATTAGATTATATTTTATTTAGAGTAGATTTTAAAATATTTTTAAAGAACTTTGTTGGTAAATTATAATAAATAAAAATAAAAATTAAAATTATAAGAAATAGGAAAAAACTATGTTAGATATATTCTAAAAAGTAGATTACTGCATGTCACTTTAGAGGAAAATTAAGAGTAATAGAGAATAGAGAATTAACGTACGCGGTTGAAAGTAGTATAAAAAGAAATACTATGTATGAAATAAATTGATAAATATTTTTTAATATTCTAAGGTTGGATATTTCAAAAGTATCTACTTTTATATATATATATATATATATATATATATATATATATATATATAATATATTAATATATTAATATATTAATATATATAATAATAATATATATATACACACACAAGTATATATATATATATATATATATATATATATATGTGTGTGTGGGTATGTGTAAATAAACATTACGCGTGTTGTGTACTTCAGAGTCTGCATATATTACAAACAAATGCATTAAAATCTGAGAAGCTAAAATATATTAATTCATTTATTAGCTTGTTTGTACGTGGTACTCAATAACATTCTTGAAACATGAACCATTCATGCAAAATTTTATCCATTAAATTTTAAAATGTATTAAACAAATTTAAGTGACTAAAACTATAGTTTATCTTAAATAATACCTTGTGTATTAATGAAATAATATCCAACAATCAAAGAACACTGAAAAACAATTTGGTATATTAAATTGTTGTTATTAGTATTCATCGCAAGTTTTGTGACTTCTCTGACCACTTTTCACTTAATTTAAGCACGCTTGTTGTTTCAAATGCATAAGTGAATAAAATAAAATGCATTTAAATAATTGAGAATCTCAATTATTGGCAATATTTGAATGTCATCGTTATATTTATTGTGCTTATTATTAGTAACATTTATTATTTCTAAGCAACATGGTTTGTTTACACTATTGCATGATCTGTACGGGCTCGAAATGATTTTTCCACTACTAACAAGCGAACTTCAACAAACGACAAAATGTAAGTTATACAACATGCGCGCTTATAAACAACAAGGTATAAGTTGTTGACCGGCGCGGGTCTAATGAACGACTGAGATTCGCCACTTCGCCACTTCGCCACTTCGCCAGGTACGGTAACTTGTATGCACTATGCAAGAACACGTGGCTTCAGCGCACATACGAGTACGTGCGAACGTGCGACGATGCTACGGGCCCACAGTCCAATTAATCACTTATGCTAATTTACTTCTCGATCTCAATTCCAACAATAGTACCTATTATAAATCTATTGCAAACATTGATTCAGAAATTAATTCTTAGTCAAAGTTTTGATCAAACCTCGAGGTTAATCTATTGGCCTGGCCGTTACCATTTTACTAGTAAATTTTGGTTAATCTCAAGTTTGTTCGAATCTAGATATCTTCTTCTCCCACATACGAGTTAAGTTTACGTGAATAATACTCACAATTAGAACAGTTATCATTCAATCAATTCCAAATTATGTGGCTTTGAGATATATTAATAAAACTGCAACGTCGGATTATGACTGCATTTGATGCTGAGCCTCTTAGAAATTAGATTCATTTAAATTAATAATAATAAATAATAATAAAGCATTTTATAATATATTTTTAACTTCCCGAAGGAGAAGTATATGTTTTTATCAAAAAATCCGATTCGCTAATTTTATGTTTTCTCGACGTTTCAAGCCATTCTGAATCGAATGAGACTTGAATGAAATTTGGAAAAAGTATGTGTGTGTGTGTATGTGTGTGAACAGATTTTTTGTCGTAAATCGACGTTTTCTCCAAAACGGCTGGACGATTTGTGCGGCGATCGGCCGGGCCGTTTCTTTGTAAATTGCAGAAAAGTGAAAAATTTTTCGTCCACGTTTTAGCCCGCAATTCTGAATCGAGTCTGAAAATTCAAAAACCATTCGATAGATATTGGTTGGGAATCGTGCTGATTAGTTTTTGGTAAAGATCGGCCGGGCCGTTTTCTTGTAATAAAGTTTAAAAAAAATTTTTTTTTTTTTTGACTGTAGATACCATAGTTTTCTAGGTCATACTAAAATATTACGGCCCTACGACAACTCGTTTAGCTTTAAAAATTCGTCAAAGTTTTCAAACATTGGTATCGTTTTTTTGGCATTTGTCAAAATGAGATCTTTGATCGACGTTTTCTCAAAAACGCCTGAACCGATTTCAGAAATTTAAAATCCATTTGATGTATTTCGGTGAGGACTATCGTGCGACGATCTGCCAAGCCGTTTCTTTATAATTTGAAAAAAGTTTTAAACTTTTCGTCCACATTTAAGCTCATCCTACCAAACCGTTTTTAAAAAATCAAAAACTGTTCGAAAGATATTAGTTGGGAATGGTACTGATTAGTTTTAGGTGAAAATCTACCGAGCCGTTTTCTTGCAATTAACTGTTGAAAAAAAAAATTAAGCCGATTTTTATGGATTTTTTTTAGTGATATATACTATGGTCTTATAGAACTTACTGAAATATTACGGCCTTATGACAAATAGTTTGATTTTAAAAATTCTTCAAAGTTTGAGAAAATGAGTAGTTCTTTTGAGATTTGTTAAAATTAAAATTAGACTATTTACTTGGTATAATGATAAAGTGCTTGGTCTTGAACATAATAAACCATTAAAGTCCTGGAAACTGGTTCAATTATAAAAATTATTGATTTTTGAAAATTTGCTTTTAGAAAATACTCCGAGTCAAAGTGTTCGTTCGTTTTCAATTATGTGTAATAAATCCACTCGGAATACTTTTAATGACTCATAAATTAATTTATTTTATATTGATTAAGCCGATTATTTAAACATATCGGGAAGTTCTTGTAACTTGCCTCAAGGCTAAATACCAAACCAACTAGTTCTCAATTATGGTTAAGAAGAATTTGGGAATATGAGTCTTTGATTGTCAAATTAGAGCGAAAAACTATGCTATAATTATACTGACATAATTCAGCAAATTTAAATATTAGATTTTCGAATTAGTTAACATTAAATGATGAAATGCGGGATGTTAAATCCAATGTTTCATTTTTCGTTGTAGACAAAATCGTAAATTTGAAATCCATTTGAGTGTTGCAATATATTTTGTATATGGTAATATTGTTTGCAGTGCTTTTTATTATGTTCAATTATAATATGATAAAAAATATTACAAAACCGAATATAAAACGCTGACACTTGGTTATTAGTGTAATTCTAGTAGGATTTATTTTCGTTCGTTGCCCCCTATCCTGACAAAATTCTGTCTGGGCTCATAGAAAAGTTTGCTGATTTGAGAAAAATGGCGAATTAGTTTACTAACACGCACATACAATTATTATGTATGTTTATATAATTTAGCCATTAAATTCTTGGAATTGAGATTTGTTCATTTATGCAATGTCTTCTGCGTCATTTTGCGCTCAGCTGCGCGGTTCACGCATGCGACAACATTTTAACCCTTCTTTGCATGATTTTTTCTATTTTAATAAAATAAATCAGGGTATGTAATTAATGCTCTAGATTAAAGGAAAAATATTTCAAAAAATCCTAATGTAAATAGAAGTATGTATTATGTAAAAAACAATATGATAGAAATTTACATCATCATGCATTGCCACATATCTAGCTCAGAACTATATAAAATATATTATTGTTTACTTAATCTTCTTTACTCTTTATAATAATATAAAAAACTTATTATAGAACTATAGAATATTCAGAACTATATACTTATTATTATTTTTTTTGAGCACAAATTGTTACCATGTTTACTGAATTGACCCATTGTAAGCAGTCTCTTTTTACGTTCACCTCTTTCTTGAGCATTTTTTATAAACATTCCAAGAGTTTATAATAGCTCGATCAAATAGATAAAAAATATGCAAATACCACTTTTTAGACCTCTTTGTTATATGATTTCTACCCAAAAAGTTATCCATGAGATCTACTTCTCCCATATGTTTATTGTTCAAACTTTAGCGACCAGTATGATCTTGTGCTAGGAATTTTGATTACTGACATGTAGAATAATATACCAAAAAACTTATACAAATCATAATCTGTTTCTTCAAAAAACAACACAAAAAACATTTACAAAAAAATCTTTGCCATGCATTACAAGTGGAACTACTGCATAGTGATGTAAACTTCCATCACATAGTTTTGAGAACTTTATTCACAGTGTTTTAATATAAATTGTACATAAAACAACAAAAACATGAAAACAAACCCTTTTCTCACTCATTTTCACTTTTACTGTATTTTATATCTCTGTTTACTTCCTTATAACAAACTAAGAACTCGCTCCTTTTTTCCAGTCACAACAAACAGCGAAATGACAAGTTCTAGTCCTGGTAATTAACAGTGACGTTTGCTATTTTTTAAAAATTGCATTTTGTTGTACGCAATAGTCGCTTAAAATGTTGCCAGCAACAACAAATTTACAGTACAAGGGTTTTTAGTACATTTTTGTTGACTAAATATTTTGATTGAAATTTCCATCGCCATGCAAAGAAGGGTTAAAAATTAAATTGAGTTTTATATTTGCATTAACATGTCGCCTGAATGAAATGATGATATATTAACCCTTAGGTATATGCCGGTCATTCTTATGAAGCATCAAGGTATTACCAAGAGGGAAATATGCAATATTTTCTTGTAAGTCGAAACGACAATTGTTACTTTCTACTTCTCAAATTATTACAACCTTTTACACTTTCATAATGAATATAAATAGCTGTCGATATAGTGTTGACAACCTAGATCACAAAATGATTACCGGACCGCTTCTATTTTCCCAGAAAAAACTTAAAAATCGGCCTTGACCTCTGCAGTCAAGGTGTTAAACAATGTAAGCACTTTGTTGACCGGCTATTGATATCTCTATATTTTTACACCAAAAGATTTGGCGGGTCTTATAAGCGAGAGAAGAGCTCGTGTTACACTAGCAATTGCGCTGTATGGTCGTCAAAGTCGAAAACAACAGCGATGCGAAAGAAAAGCGCATTACGAAATTGTTCGTGATTTGGTCAGCCAAGTGTTAATAATTTATAAATGTTATGTATTCGGATGTCATCTTTTAATGCATGTTATGCATTGTCATGCGTGCTAAGATGCATTATTTATCTCAAACTAATTAAATATAGTTATCTGTCAAGTTTCGGAAATAATAATCCAATTTTTTTATTTTGGAAAAAAAGGTTATAAATATACTCTCAAGATTCGTTTTACTTTTAATGTTAATCAAGATCGCATTTTGTTAGTAGCATGACATAAAAGTTTCAATTTTGATTTTAATCTATTAACTTTTAATAAAAATTAAATAGAACTGTTAATTAAAAAGAACGATTTTGAGAATTTCCAATTTATTGTTACAGATAAGTTTAATAAATTTGAAAAAGGTCACAAATCTTAGAAAAAGGGCTTCACATAATTTTTATCCGCAAAATACGCAAAAACTGTTTGGCTAGTTTGTTCACCAAGATAGAGAAACTCTCTACTAATGCATTGCTTTTCGATTATAATATGCCGCAGTTCTTTGAGAAAACGTGAATTGATATTTTATTCTATTTTATAATTAATTTAGATATTACATTTATTACAAATATTCACTTTTTTGAAATATGAAAGTAAACAATTTTTGATTTTTTTCGATTTTAGTAACTTATCCTACATTCAAATGATATTACCTATAAGATTCAACGACAACTTTTCATTCTGTAAACATAGTTGTAACTAGTGGGGTGTATGGCATCGTGCCTTAAGGCAAATTGCTG